TTACTTTGAAATAAGCATTATCTTCACATGATTCTATTTTTTGGAAAGAGGTTGTAAATGATGAAATGGAATCACTAATTTCTATTAAAACTTGGAAGTTAGTTGATTTACCACCAGGCTGTAAAACTATTGGTTGCAAATGGGTCTTAAGAAAAAAGTTGAAACCGGATGGATCTATTGATAAATATAAGGCTAGGCTAGTTACAAAAGGTTTTAAACAACTAGAAGGCCTAGAATTTTTTGATACTTTTTCACCGGTAACAAGAATTACATCCATAAGACTTTTAATTGCTATGGCTGCAATTTTTGATTTGCAAACTCATCAAATGGATGTAAAAACTGCTTTTTTAAATGGAGACCTAAATGAGGAAATTTATATGGATCAACCCGAGTTTTTTGTTGAAGCAGGCCAAGAAAGCAAAGTATGTAAACTTACTAAATCCCTATATGTCTTGAAACAGGCACCTAAGCAAATGGCATGAAAAATTTGATTCCTGCATGATTGAAAATGGTTTTAAAACAAATGAGTGTGATAAGTGCATATATCATAAGTCTTGGAATAATTCACATGTGATTATTTGCCTATATGTTGATGATTTATTGATCTTTGGCTCTAACATGAATGTTATTGATGAAACTAAGAATATTCTTAGAAGCCATTTTGATATGAAAGATCTTGGTGAGGCAAATTTTATTCTTGGAATAAAAATAACAAGAACATGTGATGGAATTTTCCTTGACCAGTCACATTATATTGAGAAAATTTTGAAAAAATATAACTTTCTTGATTGCAAGCATGTTGCTAATCCTTTTGATTCAAGTGTTCACTTATTTCCTGTTGAAAGTGAAAATGATGTAATAAATCAAAAGGAATATGCTAGCATAATCGGAAGTTTGAGGTATGTGACTGATTGCACTAGGCCTGATATTGCATATGCAGTAGGAGTACTTGGCAGGTTTACAAGCAAGCCAGGTAATGAACATTGGCATGTTGTAACAAGAGTTATGAGATATTTAATTGGAACGAAAAATTATGGTTTGTTCTATAAAAAATATCCTGCTGTACTTGAAGGCTTTTGTGATGCAGATTGGAACACTTTATCAGGTGATTCATGTTCTACCACTGGTTATGTCTTTACTTTAGGTGGTGGTGTTGTTTGTTGGAGATCAAAAAAGCAAACTATTATTGCTAACTCTACCATGGAGGCTGAACTAATTGTTTTAGCTTCAGCTAGTGAGGAAGCGAATTGGTTAAGAGATTTATTATTTCAAATACCTTATTTTGAAAAATCAATCCCTCCTATTTTAATTCATTGTGATTGCACCGCTGCAATTGGTAGAGTTCAAAATCGTTATTACAACGGTAAATCCAGACCTATAAGGAGGAAACACAGTAATGTAAGATCGTATTTGACAAATGGTACCATTAATGTTGATTATGTCAAATCTTGTGATAATCTTGCAGATCCTCTTACTAAGGCCTTAACGAGAGAAAAGGTCTGGAGCACATCGAGGGGGATAGGATTGAAGCCTATAAATCATTGAGTCATATATGAGGAAACCCAACCTGGGGACTAGAGATCCTATAACCAGGTTCAAAGGGAAAAACTAATCATATGATGACTTGTTGTGAAAAATGCACTATATTTTTATTCCCTCCCTCTGATGTGAGTGCATTGTTTCCTGTAGTTTGTGAAAGTTGAGTTGATAAAACTCTTAATGAATATCTGTAGCCCGTATGGGTGGAGTGTTAAGCTTACAGGAGCACTCTCGACAGATTTCACCTATGTGATGTGTGGAAGTAGGTCGCTTCCTCTGAGAATTGGGCTTATTCTCAAATGCACTCATGAAACCGGGATAGCACAAGGCCATAGCGTGCTGGCCATAAAGCTCATGTCAACACTTTGATTATTATGTGTGAGCAGTGATATTTTATTTTCCTTAAGCAGTCATAGTTCAAGTCTGAGACCACTACGACTCTGGAGTAAAAGTTATTGTTTCACTAAGTGAAGGTTCAATGCAGAGCACACCTTTATTATGCATAGTAATCTTCCTTCAGTTGATAGACTTTCTTGTCTAATATTAAAATGAGTGGGGGATTGTTGGTCTATTGAACATTTTAATATTAATTAAATTGTTATAGAATGTCCTAGGCTTATTATGCCTTTGTGGATATGTTGCAGAAAGGAATAAGGACTGCCCATTAGTGGTTCTTTTAATTGGTGAGTTACTCCATGTTGGAGTTAACTGCCGCATTACTCCATTTGTTGGAGTTAGTGTTATATTCAATTCCTTTCTTGCAACAGTCTTAGCCGTTGGTGCATTTGACCATTATTTCTCCATTTTCTTATTATTTACTCCTCCATTATCCTTGTAACATATGTAACTCCTAAGGTCATTTATCTTCACTATTTACTACCCATTATCTTCCTATCAATTGGTAGGAAGACTTCCTCAACTATAAATAGTGATAGTCTTCATTTGGTTTGGGAGATACTACACACAAGAAAAATATAAAGTGAAAGAGTTAGTCAAAAAAGAAAGTTCTTATTAGTTGAAGGAAGGTGTTCTTTTTGTGGAGTTTTGAACTCAACTCTTGTCCAGGGTTGTTGAGTTATATATTGTGAATAGGTTGTTGTATCCTGGAGGGGACAAGTCAAGAAGGACTATTGCTGGACCGGTGAAAACATTTGTTGCAGTGGACTTGAATCTCCTTAAAGAGAGCGAGATATCCGCGCCTCAGCCTGAAGAGATTTATTTCTTCATTTTTATTTTTCAATTGTAATCTTGTATTTTTTGTTATCTTGTAAGTTTTTCACTAACAGAAGCCATCATGAATTAGAATAAGCTCATGACCTTTCGATTTGTTCATGGAGAGGGCTTCTACTAAATCGGATAGGGTCATGGCTCGGCCATGGCTATGGATGATATCTGGAATTCCGAGTTGAATTGCACATTTGAGTGACATGGAGCTAATGAAGTTGAATATATGGTTTCATATGTGTGCCTGAGCAGCCAATACTTGTCTAATGTTGTCTCCAATATCATTGTTAGGCAATTTTGTCCTATTTTTTAGATACTTAAGAGTTGTATTTTATTTTTTTTAATTTATAAGAAGAATGAGAAGTAGAATGTTTGATATTGATGAAGTAAACACTCTACTTCTTCTTATATTTTTTTATTTGGATATTTTTCATCTTACGAAATATCTTTATGTTGAAAATGATTGCGAACTTCCAATTTTTATATCACTACAAACAATCAAAGTATTAGTGCATAACTATTTGAAATTAATGATAAAAATATCTAACATGTAATTAACTAATACAATATATATTATCATTTAAAACATACACTATCCCTATTCACTAATTTTTTAAAGAAAAAATAACTATTCAGTGAAAGATCATAATTAAATTGAAGTTATTTTTCTGATTTTCGAGGAACTTATTTTCTTAAAAGAAAAAAAATATTTTCCAAACAATTTAACCAATTCTATAAGAAAACTTAAAAATAAATTCTGAAAATAATTTCCTCCGTACCAAACACACTTTAAAATGAAAATGGAAGAAAGAAAAAAGCATTCTAAGTTAGAGAATACAGAGTCTAGTACGTATTATAAACCAAAATAAAATTAAATGGAAAAAATGAAAGCAAGAAAATTAACTCAAAATTCAGAAAAAGGACGAATATGGACTATGGTATTAGGAGAAAATAAAAATGGAAAAAAAAAAAAGTAAAATAGGAAAGCAAAATTAGGAAAGAAACACACTGATGAGGGGGAAATGACTGTGTGATACTTATCTAAAAATGATTCGGGCCGCATTATTATAATTTATATTACTTTTAACGTAATTTTTAAATAATATATGTTATTTACTTTGTTCCAATTTATGTGACTCATGTGAAATTTTGAAAGTCAACCAAATTTTAATATGTAATTTTAAATTTTTTCAAATCGTTAATTATTGTAACTTATAGTACTCTTAATTAATTAAGATAATTTTTAAATAATATATGTTATTTCTCATGTCCCAACTTATGTGATACATGTAAAATTTTGAGAGTTAATCAAATTTTTCAATATGTTTTAAATTTTTAAGTTGTGATCTATACTATTCTTAACGTATTTTTCAAATAATATATATTACTCCTTTTGTCCCAATTTATGTGACACTGATATTTCGAGAGTTTAATCAAAATTTTAATATGCATAATATTTTATTTTATTAATTATTTTAATTTATAGTATTATTTTTTTAGCAATTTATAAATACATAACATATTAAAAATAAAAATAAGACAAATAAATTAAAATTGAGAAATTATTAAATATAAATAGAGGAGAAGGGCAAATCAATCAATTGACCAACTGAGCTTCAGCTCCTCTATTCGCTTCTATATTATAAATTGTAGAAGAATAATATAGCAATTTTTATAAATTATTTATTATTAAATATATAAATTACGTTTAAAAAATAATAGATGCTGGAGTACCCACTGTACTGAGGCACAAATTATGTCTATTGGATCAATTGAACAAGCAAATAAACATGTAATAGATGAAAGGAAATATCAAAAAATAAATAACAAAAAAAAGTTTCGATTTCACATCATCATTTGTCATAACACTATTTGTCTACATAAAATCAATTTATTGAAACTTCATGATCAAGTGAAAAGGAACAAGGGTGTACCAATTTGAAACCAATAAACCAAGGATGGCAACAGAGCAAAACAAGGGCAGAGAAAAGGGAAATGAGGTAGGGCAAGACAAATGTTAAATGAGGCGGGGCAGAGCAGGTCATAATTTTTTAAAAACATTGTTTGGGTAAAGCAGGACAAGAAGTTGTTGTAATCAGTAATTATTGAGTAAGGATCGAAAACATTGGTAATTCCAAAATTAACACATTTAAATTATGACAAATAACATTTATTTATATCATCATCACTCGATGCAAAGTCATGTTTTATTCAATTTGGCCAAACTTGTACGCAGATTAAGGGAAAACCTCAATAACACTTCTTAATCCCAGTATAGGAATGATGTTGTAGTCACTAAAACCAGCATCAATGAAAAGTTTAGCCCATTCTTGTTCACTTCTTTCTTTTCCACCAAGAAGAACCATCATAAGCATGTCATAGAAAAGTTGAGTTTCATATGACTTGTCGTCTTTGTTCTGATCCATCACTATTTCAATGATGATTACTCTTCCTCCATTCTCCTTACTTGGAATTGCTTCTTTACATTTCTTCAATATTTTTATACAATCTTCGTCCTCCCAATTATGTAATATCCACTGTAACAATTGTCATTAGTCATCAAACATGTATAAACCAATAGAAGGAGAGCTAGGATGTACCTTAAGCAAAACTGCATCGGCACAAGGAATGGAGTTAAACATATCTCCTCCCACAAAGTTCAGGTTCTTGCTTCCTTCAAGCCCTTCAATTACATGAGGGAGTTCAAAGACAGTGCAATTTATTTGTGGAAATGCATCCGCAATAGCTTTAGCTACGGTTCCAGTTCCCCCTCCAACGTCCACCAACGATTTCAACCCTTCAAAAAGTAGTCCCTTACCATTTTGAATCAACACACTCATGACCAAACGGGCATCACTAGACATGCCTTCGTTTAATAGATGGTTAAGTATCGGTTCCTTCTCAGCGTATTCATAGAGAGACTTGCCATAAATACTCGCAAATGGAGTACAAGAGTCATTATTTTGGAACCATTGGCTAAGATAGAGAAACGGATCCATTGAATTTGGATCTAGTCCAGAATATACAAGGGGGACTAAGCTCAAAGGCTCATCTTTAAGGAGGAGACGTGAATTCGGAGTAAGTAAATAACCCTCTTCTTCTTCAATAAATAAGCCAGCATGAATTAGAATACGCATGAGACGATAAACACAATTCTGACCTCTTGATTTGTTGATAGAGAGAGTGTTTACTAAATCGGATAGGGTCATGGCTCGGCCATAACTATGAATGATATCTGGTATTCCAAGTTGAATTGCACATTTGAGTGACATGGTGTTGATGAAGCTTAATGAAAGGTTCAATATGTGTGCATGACTAGACAATACTTGTGTAGTTTTCTCCTCAATATTATCATTAGGCAATGCCATATTTGTGAGATGCTTAGAGTAGTGATAATTGTCGATCGAGGTGTGAAGATATATATATATATATATATATTTCTTTTCTATATAATAGATAGAGTAGACAATTTTTTGCATGTCTGCTAATTCTTTGTCAATTAATTATAAAATAAAGATATTTTGGTCATTTAAACTCATCAAATTGATAAGGTTGTTGTCCATTCTCTTAGATAGTACACGTGTGTTTTCAATGTGAAGATGAATAAACACGTAGCATTTTTAAGCTTGTATAAGCTTTTTTGTTTTATTTAAGCTTTTTTCTTCTTTTCTATATATAGTTTTTCAACATGTCTGCTTCTTTGTCAATTAATTTTAAAATAAAGATATTTTGGTCATTTAAACTCATCAAATTGATAAGGTTGTGGCCTATTCTCCTAAGTTGTATACGTGTGTTTTCAATGTGAATATGAACAAACAAGTAACATTTTAAGCTTGTATAAGCTCTTTTCTTTTCTCTGATTTTATTTAAGCTTCTTTCTTCATTAAAGATGCTTTTATTATATAGAAATATATAAAAATAAAGTGTGTGGTGATATTCTGTGGAATTTTTTTGTTATTGTCTTTTCCTTTTTGAATTAATCTTAGATAATTTCTACTGGAAGAAGGCCTAATTCAATTTTGCTATCTCACTATGCTTGATTGAATTGCAAGATCTATAAAATTTTATTTTAGGTTATGAGAAAAAATTTTATTACGAAATTTCTTTTGAGCTGAAATTTCTTCAAAAAACTTTGGTATTATTTAATACTTTGATAGAAATTTTGGACCAATGATTAGTTATATACCCTATATGGTATTATGAAATGTATTACTAATACCTTTCATTTGGTGGTATTATTAATACATAGGATTTAATACCATAAATTATTTCTTATATCATTTTAATTATTGTATTATTTTCTTAATTTTATGTTTTATATTTGTACTAGTAAAATCATTTAAATAAATTAGCTTACAAATTATTTAGAGAGAATTGTTTGTTGCTAAATAAATTCGATACAAGTCAATACAAATATTTGAAATGTGAGTTGTATAACATTTACTAATCAAAAAGGTAAATATATTACCACACATTTGTGATCTTAATTGATTGTATTATTTGTTGATATATATATATATATATATATATATATATATATATATATAAGGTTTTATAATTATTTGTATTTTATACAATTTATAAAATTGCATACATATTAAAATTACAACTTGCTTGTTTTTATCTATAAATATAGATGGTTTATTCGATTTTACTATTGTTTACCGTCTTTTCGGTTATAAACTAGATGATCTATCTTTTTAAGTTAAAAATTGACATTTTGTAAGTGATCGATCTATTAAGATGACAATTATTTACCTTCAAATAATTAAAGTGAGAAAAATACAAACATGACAACAAAATTGTTCTTATCCTAGCTAGTTAGAAGGCCATATAAAAAATATATTGTCCGACAATTATCTACTTGACCTAATTACATAATAATTTAAGGGTATAATTGGAAATAAACTTTTTATAGAATTTTAATCCAAACACGAGATGAGGTGGAAAACAATGAACCAAACACTTGATAAAAATAAATCTAGCATTATTGATCTCTACACTACTAATTCCTACAATATTAATCCATGTTTAACTAATCCCTCCATTATTATTATTTGTACCAAACGACGATTAAGAAGGGAAGGGAGGTAAAAACGAGATTGAGATCGACTGTCCCAACTCCCAATTAAAGTTCAAAACCGAGAAACTAAAAAGAACACTAATTTCGATTATTCTTTTAAGATTATTGAGACCCAGGGAAAACAAGAAATTTTCTTTCGATCTTGATGGATATTTGGGTTATTTATATAGATTTTTTTTTTGCTTTTATACTGTTTTTTAATTTCATCATTCCATTTGTTTACTTATGCCTCTTCTTTCATGGCCATGTTATTTTCTATTTTTTTCACTGACCTTATGTGTGCTTACTATTTGGATGTAACAGTGCTTGGACAGTAGAAGCAGGGGAGAATTTATGTGTTAAAATTGGGTCATCGAAACCCGTGGTCATCCGACTAAACTCGATATATTACTTGTATAATTATTAAAGAACATATTAAATAAACGTTTGTGGAACCCACTTTTAAAGTTGATGAATGATTCATTGATTTGACAGCCAGATTTTAACACTAAGGTTCCGAATTCGATTGGTCGAGAATTATGACAATCTATTTATGCCTAAGCAAGTGTAATTTATAGATGTTCAAATTATTTTGATTTATTTTTCATATATATATATTTATGACCTTAAAGATATTCATTAGAAAAGATACCCTTTCTAGAACTTTAGATATTTAAATAAAATTTTATATCGGGTGAATATAAAAACAAATTTATAATGTCATTCATGTCTTTAAATAGGAGGAGATAAGGATGAATACAGCAATGACAGATTATAAAGGAGGACAAATTAGCTTCATTCATGTTCTCATCGCCAACAATTAACAACTTACTAACTGTGACATCTACCAAAACTCTTGGCTCTGATAAGGCATCTACCAAAACTCTTGCACTTTATTAACTGTGACATTGGTAAGTGAATATGCATTAATTAGATATAAACTTTCTCATCAAAGAAGTTAGTAATTCTCTTTATGTTTTTTGATCTGGAAAATAACAAGGACACTAAAATATTTCCTATTTCACATTTCAAACTAAACATTGCAGATATATTATTATATTTTCTAACTGTGCAAATAGATATGTTTTAACTGGTTCTTAAAATGCACACTTAAGAGTTGTCCACATGAAGTAATTGTACACATTTTTTTCATATATGTATTTAATGTATGTGTACCATTTCAATTACTGTGATTAAGTTCTTTTTGCGATCTTATATTTTTATGAATATTAATTTTTACTTTCTCTACTTATGTAATAGGTTTCAATCTTAGGGTTAAAAATCAGAATGTAACGATCTGATTTCCGTCATTGTGAAAAAGCCAATGAGGAAAGAATTGGGGCCAGAAAACTTTTTCGTAGTAACTTGAGATTTCCTAGCATAGTTCAGATTTGGACGAAATCGTAGTCAGTGAGGTCTAGGAAAATTTGGTAACAAATGAGATATCGATTAATTATAAATTTGATTACATGAATGGATAGCTAAGACATTAAGGAACCCGTACCACTTTACAGAATTGAATTCGGACGAGTAGAACTCCTGAAACTGAACTTAGCGTGAACGAGTATTTTCTGAGTGTCATGGGATGAGGGTATGTTGTGAAAATGGGGGTTTGGAATTCTTAAATTGCTCACTGGTTCCGTGCAAGCCGCTATGGCAGGATTATTCTCGCCAAGGCGGGGCCTTTGTGGCGGGTTTGGGCCCCCATAGCGGTACTTTTCGACTTTGAGAGCTAAGGAACGACCCCAGGTGTGTTCTTGAGGGTTTTTCACCATTCTTGAGGCTAAAGGTAAGATTTTTTTTTCTCCCCGAATCCACGTTTCGATCCGTAGAACTTAATTTCTTGGGTAATTATCAATGGGGGAGGGTTTTGATCTAGGAATTATGGTGGAAAAAGCCCTAGTCTGGGTATGGAGATCAGGGTTTGACCTAGGGTTGATATTATTGATTATGATCCGGGTAATTGGGTCTTGATTGTTGATCCTTGCGTGTAAATTGTTGTTTGTAGACCTAGAACAAGTGGAAAGAATCCGGAAAGAGAAGATTTAAGTGCCTTAGGGGATTCAAGCTTGAAATCGAGGTAGGTGATATGGTTGTGATTTCATGTTGATGTGATATATGTTTGTAATTGCTCATTATAATGCATGTATGTATCCAAATGTTGCATTATTGATCACCCTAATCGTAAATGAGGATAATTGAATAATTGTATGCCATGAATCACCTATTGTTGTATGATTGTGAGAATATACATTGTGATTGTGATTGTGGTTTGTTGAATGGATCGGGTGTTGCGTTCCGACACACTAACTTGGATCGGTTGCCACATTCTGGCATAAATATGGGATCGGTTGCCACGTTTCGGCATAAATATGGGATCGACTGCCACGTTCATGGATAAACATTGGACGGGTACTACGTACCGGTACACTAACACTTTGGGTGTGGGTTCCATAAGAGGACCATTGAATTGGGTTCCGTGAGATGACCATTGAATTGGGTTCCGTGAGAGGACCATTGAATTGTGTTGTGTATCTACTTGTGATGATTACGTTCATATCTAATGATGATTGATATTAAAAGATTGTATGTTGCTCTAAATTGATAACCAATGTGTATTATTGAGAACGTGTGATGCTACATTGATCCTAAAATGATGACTAATATTGTATATGTTCGGTATATGCCTGTTTGTAATGTTGTGGTTACTTGCATTTGTTTCACTTATTGGGATAGTCGTGTGATCTTACCAGTATACTGTGGTTGTGTACTGATATTGCACTTGTTTGTTCTTTGTTGAGTACAGGGCATCTTCAGACGGCTATTGATAGACCTCAGCTAGGTGACTATTGAGCGTGACCTAGTATTATGTTTTAATATTTACTCCATTAACACGCGAAAATGCTCTTCACGTTGGGCTCGTGCTGACACGGGCCACACCCCCTAGTAGTATAAGAAATGTGAAGGCTACCATTAGTGAATTAGTGTTTTATCTATCTATCTATACTACTTTAAAAGATGGATTTTCTATCCTTGTTAAAATATTTTATAATATACAAAAAATTTATTTACTATTTTTTTCAAATTGAATTTTAATTATAGTAAAATATTTAAAATCAAGGAGTTCTAAAATATGTAGGAAGAAAAAAATATTTTAAAAATTTAGAAGTATTAAAATATATGTTAAGAGAAAAATAACTATTAGAAGATATCACGAGAATTAATAATTAAAGATTCCTAAAATATAATAAGACAACAATATGTTTTAAACAAAATGTATCACAAAAGATCAAAAGCAAAACAATA